GGCATGAGCAAATCAACGCCACCGTCACTGAAGATTGATGCCGTGGAGACGTCTAAGGTGTCATTGGGAACATCCCGTGAGGATGGCTCAGTGATAGGACGATTCGCTGGTGGGCGCGAAAGCCTCCTGCGGGCGTGCTCAGAAGCGACACCATCAACCTTGTGAGCGGAGGCCGGCGGCGGCGGCGAAGGAAGGCGGGAAGTGGCAAGAGGAGACTGGATGGGGTGTTCCGCGATCGCACTCTCGTTCTTCGCGATCTCTTGAGTAGCAGGTAAGGATCCTTGGCGTGATGGTTGAGGTCTAGGGTTGCCGCTCCGCGATAAGTGTTTCTTCAGGCTTCGATAAATGTTGTCTTGAGCCTTCGGTGGAGCGTCGTGGAGCGGCTTGATATTCTCCGGTGCTTCTTGGGATGCCATCTCCATTTTCCGGAGCTTGAAGGTGTAAGCACAAATTACGAAAACATAAAGTTCACATACCTTGCGCTTCATAATCGCCTGTGCACTGTTCGCCAGGTCCAGCTGAATACGCAACCTCTCGAGCGTAGTACCTTGCTCTGCGAAATCGTGCTTGAGGGTCTCGATCAGATCACCCTGCTCCGCGTTCTCCCTGAACAGCATGATGAATTCTTCCAAGTTATTTCCATGCTCCACCTTGCAATACTCTTGTGCTCGCAAAGCTGATGCGGTGGTCTTCTCGAGCTCGGTTTCGAGTTCGCAGACTCGTTGCTGTAAGAGTGCCTTCTCCTGCTGGTGCTCAAGAACATGAGCGTCATGCTCGGAGAGTAGACGTTGAGCCTGCAGTTCCAAGTTGCAGAGCATGGCAGCATTCGAGTCCGCCATTCGAGTGCTGCGCTTGAGCTCCCGAGCAAGCGTATCACGTTCTGAGGTGAGCGCAGCAATTTGATCCTGATAGACCTTGAAATCTGGCTGGTGGTCACGACGAGCGTGGGCAGGACGCTGTTCGTCTTTCTTGCGATGCGCGTCCGAAAGGGCCACAAGAGCCTTGGGCCAACGCGCTACCAGTGTCTGTCCGAAGCTTAGACTTCTACGATGTGGTGCGTGATTTGGCACCGAAGCGAATGGGTCGTCGTCCTTGGGGCGCTCGGAAGTATCATGAACAATGTCGCGTTGCGGTTTGACTAATCTTCGTCGTCGCTCTGGCTCGTGCTTCACCGTGGAGTTCCTTCTGGAAGCCACTGCCGGTTCCGTTGGCTGAGGTCTCGGTTCACGCACCGCGATGGCATGGACCTCCATCAACCCACCTTGGGAACCAGTGTCCGGTGGAGATGCGGCCTCGAGATTTTGCTTACTGGTCTTGCGAGCAACAGTCTCGACCACAGGATTGCAGATCTCCAAGCTCTCCAAGTGCGCAATGTGTTCGTCCTGGTCGAAGAGCCTGGACTGGAGCTTGATGACCTGAGCGCCCTGTCGCATATTCAGCTCGTTGAGGTCGCGCAACTTGTAGTCGTAGGCCTCGATAATCTGGGACATCTCTGACTGCATCGCCTTACGGTCAGGGTCGAGCTGGTCTTGAAAAGTACTGCTATGACGTTGAGCCTCATTGACGGCTGGGGGAGCAGCCTTCTGTTCCTTGTTGGTAGCGACAAGCGAAGTGGGTAGGCCCGTGTTTGTCACTCTCGGCTTCTTCGTCTCCACGCGTTTGGACTTCAGTTGTGCCTGAAGGCGGTCGAGGACGTGAGTCTTCTTTGCAAGGGAATCGTCATTGGTGGTTGGGGAAACCTTTGGAAGTGATGAGTCAGGATATGAGACCGGCCTGGTACGGAAGATGGCTCGATCGACGAAGCCCGGGAGGAAGGAGCGAACTTTGCCTTTGCGTTGCTTAGCAGGGTTGCGTGGTGAAGACTGGGCATCTGGCCTGAAGCTGAAGTGTTGTTCCATATCGACGGGCATAGTGGAATGAATAAAGGTGTTAAAGATATTGATGTGCTGGATACGTGATAAACGTGAAGCAACGATAAAAGACGGAATGAAGAGAGGTTAGGGGGGCGGCGATGAGTCTTATATATTTCGGAGGCTGACATGTCCCACGCGACAGTTGAGACTGAATCAAAGATTTCGATTCAGTCGCAGGACATGTATCCGAACTATATAACTTTTGATGCTAATAGTAATAGCAGGAACGGACCTGCTCTAGCTAGACCGGTCCGGTATCTTCTGTAAATTCGAACATTGAAAGAGGCTGGAAAAAAAACGTACAAGGAGCCTGAACCAAGGACTGGAGCGCTATCATGATGAATGTCTTTGGACTTCACGGTCATGAAGCTCGCGTTTAACCAACTATGAAATATCAGTGGACGACAATCCGTATACAAGACGAACCTTGACCTGATACTTTTCGTGCCACGTAATGAATTCGAGTGGCGTCGAAGGCACTTGCCGAATAAGGACACGTTCACTTCTCAAGGAACCTCCCGAGCACCCAAGTCACCAGCGCCTCCCCCTACGTGGTTTGCTTTCAAGCGATGGAAGGTAACAAAGACGAAGCCATCAAATGCCTTTCCATCGCACAAAAATACAAAGATGCTGGCAACCTTCCTTCCGCACGCAAATTTTGCCAAAAATCTATAAACCTGTTTTCTACACCTGAGGCTGCAAAGCTACTTGAGTCTATCGAGGTCGCGGAGGCATCTGGATCGTCTTCTTCGTCAGCTGGGGCAGGTCCTTCGATGTCAAATGGGAATGCGCAAGCTACTTCGTCATCTACAGAGACACACCCATCCGCTTCTGGCGCTAAGCATCGGAATACCGGCAGTGCTAATGGTACTGCCGGAGGGATGGGAGGGGAGAAACGGGAATTTACTGCTGAGCAGTTGAAAGTTGTTAAACGAGTGAAGGCGTGCAAGGTTACGGAGTACTATGAGATTTTGTCCGTCAAGAAGGACTGCGAGGAGGCTGAGATAAAGAAGGCATACAGAAAGGTACACCAACATGATGTCGTGTGCTGTCCGACATGCATTCTAACGCTGTGATTGACTGCAGCTTGCCCTTGCGCTACATCCTGACAAGAACGGCGCTCCTGGAGCAGATGAGGCATTCAAGTGTACGTTTAGTATTGTCTTCGTATACACGAATTGTCTTACACAAACTCTCTGCAGTGGTCTCAAAAGCCTTCCAAGTGCTTTCAGGCATGCTTAGCTTATTTTAATGCACTGCATGTCTCTGACATTCACCCAGATCCCCAGAAGCGAGCAGCGTACGACCAATCCGGGTCAGACCCAGAATCGCGATTTGGTGGCATGTCCTCGCGCGGGCCTGGCTTCTCCGCAAGCCCATTCGGTGGAGGCTTCGAAGGCGAGATGAGTCCAGAGGATCTCTTCAACATGTTCTTTGGAGGAGGTGGCATGGCGATGAACGGTGGATTTGGAGGTAGTCCTTTCGGCGGTCCAGTATTCTCAGCCTCATTTGGCCCAGGAGGCTTTCGGACGACACGTATGCGTACGAATACGGGAGGTCCACAAGCACAGCAGCAGGGTGAAGGGGCGCAGGGTCGCTCGCTGCTTATGCAGCTCCTACCCCTCATATTGCTTATTGCGTTCTCGTTCCTGAGTGCAATTCCGGACATGTTCTCTACGTCGATACCCGACCCGCGGTATTCATTTTCACCGTCATCACGTTACAATGTTGAAAGGCAAACGACTGGATTGGGCATAAAATATCACGTCAATGGACCCGAGTTCAACAATCATCGGCAGATTGCGGCAGACCTTGCTGGGGGTACCCACCGACGTGGATCGGCTCTGTCACGATTTGAAGGGCAAGTAGAACACGTTTACACCAGTAACCTCTATGGTGACTGTCAGCGTGGAGTTGAGAGGCGGCAACAGAGGAGAGACGCAGAAGTTGGTCTATTTGGTGTTGGTACAGACTGGGAGAAAGTGAAGGCAATCGAGGCGGAGAAAATAGAGAGCTGTGAAGAGCTGAAGCGGCTGGGCGTCTTAAAGTCGTGAAAACTGCTTCGGCGTCTTGGATAACCTTGGACTCATGCATTCCGATGGCTTTATCAGTTCAACTTGGATTGTCCATCGTATCCCCCGCCAACGCGGTCTACCTATGATTTATTTATACCATAATGTGGTCTTCGCCTTCTCTATACTAGCGTTGCAAGTAGTCCATATCACTGCTAACCGGCGACCGCTAGATTTAAAGTTATATCAGAATGCTTGTGATGTCTCAGGGTGATTTGACATGAGACCTTTGTCAGCGAGGGGGTAAGTACTTCCGATTTGCTTCCGATTACAACTAAGTAAGGCCTTACAAGATATAAACTTACACTTCTCCAGCTGAGTATCAACTTTCAGGCGTAGAATGAGCGCGGGCACGTCGGATATCCAGCAGGAGCCCGCAGAGCTCGCACGGTTCAGAGAGCAATGGAAGGCCGAGGTCAGGGAACGGCAGGCTGTTACGTCGGGCGCGCGAACTCAACCCGTTCCCAGTGCCAGTACCAGTGCAGAACGCGCCGTTTCCCCAACTCGGAGTGACACCAGCACGAAGACTGCCACTATCGCTAACACGTTCCCTGCACCCCGCGGGCTTCCCGGACCTGCAATTCATTCCATTGCAGGTGCGCCGCGGCCATCCGTCCCCGCCCACGCATCTCACGGCCAATCTCATCTCAGTCCCATTCTCGCTCACGCTATCGAGGTCTATCGTAACGCAGTTCATCATGAGCAGCAGAGTCAGCTAGACGAGGCTCTTCGGCTCTATCGTCAGGCATTCCGTCTCGACCCGAACGTCGATCGTGCGTATTTCATAGAAGAACAACGCGCACAGGAGCGTCTTGCTGCTCGTCCCGCTGGTCACAGGAAAGTTCCGTCCAGCGGTTCGGTAGATGGAGTTACACGGGGTGTGCAGAAGCTCGAAGTCCACCAGGATAGCAAGGATAAATCATTCGTGACTTCAAGGCTTCTTGCACAAATCCTCAAGACGTTTCCTGAGAATCTTGTCTTTGAGCCGGAGGATGAGAAGGAGGGACGACCTCCGATTAATCTTATCCCTGACGAGCTTCTGCTCAAAATCCTCCGAACTCTTGATTACACCACGATTGAGCGGTTTGCGACTGTCAGTCGTAAAGCACGAGTACTTAGCTTGGACTCTGCGATTTGGAGGTATGGTGCTTGTCTCTTGCATGTACTTACGTTATCAATACTTTGCAACAGAGATTTTGTCCACTTGGCATATAAGCCCCCGCAGATCTCTGATGATGAGCCTATAACGGATATTGTGGAACTGTACAATTCGGAATACCGGAGAGTCTATATGGAACATCCCCGCTTGCGGCTGGATGGGGTATATATCGCTGTTTGCCATTACATGTAAGCTATACTTTCGGAGGTATCATCTTTCCGCTTCTCACAAAATTGTAGGCGGACGGGCTCCAGCGAGAACGCTTGGGTTAATGTACGTAGACGACCCCCGACATTTTCGACGCGTCTGAATTTACCACTTTCCTGTAGATAACTCATCTTGTCACTTACCACCGATACCTGTGAGTCTCGCAGCTGAACCCTCTCTTCCACTCATTAACCGTATACCAGCCGGTTCTTCCCTAACGGACAGGTCCTGTCCCTTCTCGCCAACGAGGAATGGCAACCTCAAACCGTTATTCCAATGCTCAAGCCCACCCTGCGCATGAAGGTATGTACACACCCATCACACCTCTTGCCCCAAAGACTTACCCATACACATCTCAGGGCTTCTACATCGGCAACTGGTCTCTCTCCGGCAACACCGTCTACATCACAAACCTTACCGAGAAGCCCCTCGCGCCATCGCACGCCACTACCGAGCCGCAGCCGAACAAGTATATCTTCCAGATGACACTCACGCTGCATTCACGCCCCCTCGGGCGGTGGAACAAGCTGGATTTTATTGGGTATGACTCTGTCAATGTGGAGGATGGGGAGGCGGTGCCCTTTCCGCTGAAGCATGAACGCTCATTTTGGTTCTCGAAGGTGCGGAGCTGGGCGGGGTATTAGATGGGGGGATATTTGCTAGCTGAGCGCTAGACGTAATCATGTGCGGGGCTTTTCGTAGGACATTGGCTTTGCAGTTGGGGGTCTTACGGATGTGGTCGGTCTCAGGCATGTGCTATCATAGAGCAGTAGTTCTCGAGGACAATACTTGAACTTCGGGATGCATATAAAAGACCCTTGGACCCTACGTGAAGTGAGGAGCCCATGATGACCATCCGGATTGAGACTTGTGAACACTATGTCTACAGATTCTCTACCTCGTGTTTTCTATGTGTACGACTGATTTTAAAAAATCTTTCGCACACTAAGCGACAGTGTACTGGTTCGCTTTAGGTTGGAGCTGAGAAATGGCAAGTTGCCTGCCTTATGTACCTATAGTTTGCGTATCGGCCCCGGGCTGAATTTATTTATTTTGGGCTACCAGTAAACTTCACTTTGTATCCGTCTCCTTAATATCAGACATTTCCAATTTTAGCTTTGGATCTCTACCACCGGTATCAAGATTTAGGTAACTACCCTGGACGGACCAGAACGATGGCTAGTCAGCTTGGGATGGAGAATCTGCGTGAAACTGTTCTGATCGCGATTGATGTGGCTACGTAGGTACAGAAAACTCAGCCCTAAACTACTTACTTCCGTGGAGTACCCATTAGAGAACTCTGCCAGGACCTGCGTCTGAGGGGTTTAACCACCTCACTCTGCCCCAATTTTTCCTTCATCATGGTTTTGGAACCTTTCTGCGCGGGAGCCCATCTCATACTGCTCGAATTTTGGTGGCGAGGTCCAACATACACAATCTTCGAACGTCGTACTGACATATACGCACTTGTCATTGGCATGCCTATCCCAAATGCTGACAATCAGACGGGGCGCGATAATAAATGGTGCGATATCGTTGAATGTCACTACGATACCGAACACCAGGTCCTGTGGGTGTCTGCGTTAGAGCTGATCTCTGTAGATCCATGAGAGATCATACTGAAAGGTTGGCCCATAATATCGCCGTGAAGATTTGAGATGTCAAATTTCTAGCGTGATTCAATGAATATTTATTTTCAGAGAACCCAATAGACGAAGGAGAACTTACAGGACAAAGTATATGATATGATATCGCACGATCATTAGCATGTAGACGTTAGGCCTCATTCTCATTTCCCTGCGATCTTTCATGTGTTTCACGAGGATGGCAGCTGCGAGAACCACTAGGAAAATATCAAAGCATATGATGGGAATGGAACCATATATCGCAGGCATCGGCCCCATGTGGAAGGAACCCGCGCAGTACACGAAGTTCGGAGTTATTATTTCTTGCACTATGAAACGAGACGTCAGCTTGCACAGAATGAGACCTAAGTAGAAATTCACCCGAGAACACTGAGGGTCGACTATATAAATATATATCCATCCCTATATAGAGCGCGACGATAGGTAGGAACAACCCCAGTAGAACATAAAGCAGGCGCTTAGATTGGTTGTATAGGGCGTAAAGACGCCAGATAAGAATGACTGCGGATGCAAAATCGGTACGCACATTGGGATGCGAGGATGTGTGACTTACCTTCCGCCAGGCAAAAATATGCAGAAAAACTCCATTGCATTAAAACAAGAAGAGGGTAGCCTGTTTGAATTGCATGATGAGTAGACCCATTTTCAGTTGAAGACGATATACTCGCAGCTAAGTAAGAGGTCAACAACTGTTGAGACTTGGACGTAAAGGGAAATGGTAACGTACGACTAGAATATGTCAGAGAACTCTCTAAGAAAGCGTCGATACACTCACTGTTTCAGGCATATACATCAGTCCTCCCCCTAATGCTAGTCAGCTAATGATAGCTCAGCAGGCATCGCATCACATACACAAGGCGGTAAGCCTAGGGTCAGTGTCAATATACGATGTATCATCTGAAGGACACAGCCACCGCGACGTACATTGCAAGGAATAAACCAAAATATCGGACCTAGCAGAGCAACGAAGTAAAAACCCATGAAGCACGTTGGTAGGGCAGAGCTCACAGCTAGGTAAAGACATGTCATCACTGACCACTGTTTTGCCTGGATATTCAGTCAATCTCCGAGGCTTGATAGCATTTTTCAAATAGGGAGATCGAACACCGACCCAAACAAACCGGACCTGCGGCAATATGATCATGAGGACTCGACCAAGAGAAACTGAGCTTTTCGTTACCTCTTTCTCGAACTGCAGTACTAGATAATGCGATGCTCAGCTGTAGTACAAGGTTCATGAAAGCTACTGACTGTAGTCATAGGACACCAGGGTAATGATTACTACTGGAAAATGATGAAGTTCAGCACGGTGGTCCGATCACAACAAGGTTAAACGGAGCTGACGAACCTGATGTATTGTTATCCCGGCGGAGAGCAGAGACGTTTCCTTGAAGTCCCGACATGAAAGTGTGCAGATCGAATAGTGAATTCCAAGGGTGAGTGGTGGGCCGCTGACTTATAAAGCACAGAATTTCATCATCTTGTAAGGGTCATGGTGGTCGAATGTCAACTGTAGTATGACATAGTACCGGGTTTATGGCACGTACTGTAAGTAGTCAAGACTGTCGTCCCTTAACCGTTACGCCAAAAGGCAGTGATAATGAAAGCTTACGCTTCATTATCCAGGTAAGCCAACGGGCTTACACGTACTTCTCGTTAGTATTCGAATCGCTGTCCTCAATCAACGGAAAGGTCATAAATAAAAATCCCACGACTGACAGGGGCACTCTAGGGGTAGTAAGGGAGTGACGAGTGCCCTGTCATCAGTGAACTGATGCCGCAGATAAAGTCTTATATGACAATATAAAGTCATATAAAGTCATGTAAAACACCGTAATCGACGTAAAGTACCCTGAGTACTAGACTCACGAGTTCTTTGATGGTCACTGTTCCGAACTTGTTTGGCTCCCAAATCTTCAGAAGAACAGGGTACATGCACAAATCAACTTACATACCGGGCCAGGACTCCAGTCACCTGCATTCAACACCTAAGGCACAAAGTCGACTGTGCAACAACGCTCTCTCCCAAGGTTGGTATCGCTGTGGAGACTCGAGTCTCGACGGTGCCGGCGGTTCGGCGCCACTGCAGACACCATGTCTGCACATACTTGTCTCATGCGTCTACGCTTGTCCGCATGGGTTTCCGCTTGTTCGCCCTCCGTGTTTTCACTCTGCTCATTTATGGTTCGCGCCGCCGCTCACTCTTATGATACTTTCCTCAGTAATTCCGCGTTTTTCAACCTGATCTCCGTACCTCTCAAGTCTTCCAAATATCCTCTGTAAGTACTCTATTGATGCTCTCGCGAAGTCTCTCTGGATCATGCGCTCAAGCTCGTCCTATCTGTTCTAACGTTTGCTCTCTCATCTGCCCTTATTTGCGCTTGCAACTACTCGTCTGCACTTATCTACACCCGCCTCCGCACATTCTTACTTGTTCCCGCATACCGCCAGATGTTTTTGCTGGTCCGCCCTTGTATGTACCTGCTCCCACTTATTTTACTCATTTAAAGCGCGGTTCCCTGCCGCCTAAAGACCTTCGCCTCAACAAAAAACCTTCGGCTCTCGGCGCGCTTGCCCCCACGATGCCGTTCGTGAGCACACCCAGCGCTTGTACAGAGCTCTGGGCTAATACATTCCCTAGGGTAATTTTACGTATTTTCTCGTGTCTATACCACTATCCAACGGCGCCCATCCACTAGCTTTCCATCCGCCTGCCCACTTAAATGCCACTTATTGATGCCGCCGCCAGACTCCCCACCTCTCAACCTCGACCGCACCAAACTACACTCCTCCGTCACATTCGCCGTTCTCGTCCTCTAGCGCTTGAAGGTGAGATTCCCAATCACTTTCTAATTTTTTTCTGTGTTTAATACACCACTATCTAGTACCTAATAACAATCTCCACCACGGTCCACAGCAACCCGCCTCCCATCCGCCTACCCTCTTGAAAATGCCACGTAGCCAACGACGCCGGAGTAGCAACCAATCCCACCCTAGATTCACGCTTCGACTGTCCCACCAGCGCATGCACCAACTAGATGAGCACTCTCACACTACTTCAGAAATCTGGTAGCCTTGGATTCTGGCGACATATGTGTTGTATAGCAATCCATGATACATGAGGTAGTATAGCGCTAAATTTATTGCACGTGTATATACATATCCAAAATAACAATATGTAGTTTACACTGAATAGAACAAGCTGCGACGGCGCAAACAAAATCGTCCAGACTCAGTGCCACATCAGCGACAAAACAAGCGCCACATCAGCTGTGAGAGTGGCAATCGAAAACCACAAAGTATATTTAATAAGGAGAGTCAGAGATATATGTTAACATGGGGAAGAGATAACGAGGAGTGAGAGAAATATCGAATTGACAGAAGGGAGGGAGAGGAGGCATGCGAGCAGGAGATATGTTGAGGGTGATTATACTGCTAGGTGATGCCGTCAATATGAACTTGAAGGCTTCGGCTTATTCGGGTTAGAAACTGTGAGGAATCCTCAGCGAGGAGGTCCTGCCAGGGGGTCAGGCATGACTAAGTAACGTCACCTTGCACGTACCTTGTTCTTTTGACGATTTGGGAGCCGAACAATTTCGGAACAGTAACAGGGCACTCACAACTCGTAGTAAGGGGCTTGTCTAGCCTGAAATAGGGTCATGGCTAGGGAGGAAGACAGCGGCGCTCAGCCAAGCACTCTTTCTTACATTTATGGGAATATAACCATTTTGACTGTATTGAACAGAGTGACAGCCCAGCCCCCAGGGCGGGAGCGCGTAGAGAGCAGAGACGACGGGAGCAGCACTCGGGAGGGAGGAGTACAGTCATGAGCCACAAGTGAATCGAGTCTTCTGGAATATGCTGCGCTTCTACACCATCAGATAGTGAACAGACATCAGCCCTGAACTACTTACTCCCTTGAAGTATTAGGGAACACTATAGGCTGATTGAAGCGGCCCCGCACACCCCGAACTTTTCTTCGCTGATTTGGAAGCAACATGCTAATAATCATACGAAAGACATCTCATGCCGCGGTGACGAAGTCTAACTCCGCGAATGTCGTACTCGCAATTGAGTATGCCATAAACGTGCTTTACCAAGTCTATCGAACTTCATGCTTGTTGACATTTCCAATAATACAGAGCGACATCAAATGCTCACCAACCCAACACACAACCTTCCTTCGATAAAATTCCCTAATCTCCTCTTCTTACATCGGTGCGTGAATCACATTCTGCGACTTGAAAATATTCTTATGTGATTTTCCGACTTTCTGGTTGGGCGCTTGTCTTCATACATACACCAATGGGTTTCCCTGTCAGGGTGAGTCTCCGATAGTCAGATCCAATAGAAGGCAGATAGTGGCTCCTTCTGGGTCAGGGCAGAGTGAGTCAACGCGCCAGAACGGCTTCAAATTATTCTGGCGCACCAGCTCACCTTACTTTTAAACTTATGATTTCCTGATGTTGTAAGGTTTTGAGTCTTATTGATTAACATCCCCATCAATCCCAGAAAACCAGCGAAGAGATTCTTCTCATCTGGTTCTATCACGCCACATACGTTCGATGAGCAACCATCAATGAAACAGTCTATGAGGATGAGATATTTTGAGTGTTGGGCGAGGGGACTTTCTCGCGAACGATGGTAACACTCCATGCTCTCCGGATAGCCGAGATTCGTTGTCGGAGTAATATCTGGCCGGCTGCCCACAAACCTACTATGCTGACAATGAAGTGTAAACAATGGGCATCGACTCTGTCGTCGGAAAAGAACTTTAGCTCACCGCTCGAGCGTTTTTCCGTCGAATCCTCACTTGAATGAATGTGGCACTCATCACTGGGCGACCCAAGCACTTGTCGCCAAGAATCATTGGAGTGATGATGTCAATGTCAGGCTGATGGTCGGAACTCGGCATCCAAGCCATACCAGGAGACATAGCTGACCAGGCACACTCATCGTCAACGATGGACAGTGCATCCGCGACCTTGGCGAAGTGAGTAGCATTTCACGCGTCTGAATATCTGTACATTGTGTTCTTCGTACACCTGGTCGATGGAGCGTTGACGGGTGCGGTGAGCATCCCTCTTGTAGTGACAATTGAACGCAGCCTGCGTCGCTGTGAACGTGATTTAGCCTATGACCAGGAGGCGTCAATACTACACCTACCTTGCGCTGCAAATTCCTTGTGGTCGATGGTCAACTCGACGGCAAACTTTGAGCAGATAAATGTACTTACCGTCAGAGTCTTCGACTCAGTGTATTCTCTTGGACGTGATGATTCAGCCAAAGTATCAATGACCCAAGACGTGAGTGGAGACGGTACGTACGATGAAAAATTAATTTATGCCTACTATAGCATTCACTAGTTTTTCATCGTAGACGACGTCGCACGCCAGTAGTACATGTAAGGGGGTGGTTGGACAGAGGTTAGTTTTCTTGGGGGTTCACTTTTTGGGTTGAAACGTTGAAACGCGTGGTTTTTATGCTAGGCGGGTAGGATGAAAACCAAAAGTATGTCCAGATTGAGGACATCCAGGAATTGACCACTCCGGGTCCAAAGCCTGGGACATCGAATTCACGGTATGCTTGAATCTCTGGCTTGAATCAGTGCATTTAAGTACTACATGTAATTAGTGCTTCAAACTTCAAACATGATTAAGCCACTCTTGCCTTGGAACGACGATACTTACAGGCAAGTGAGTCACTAGTACTGTTACCCATGCTCGTACAGCCGTTTCGGCACGCGAGAGGCTTCGCGGCCATAATGGCAACCCTACTAGGGACCAGCGACCATCAGCACAAACCGCGTATTGTGAAGGTTCTCACTGAGAACGTCGAATTTCTGTGCCGGAAGTGACGCGCGATGTACGTGAAGAAGCTGAAGTCAAGGCAACCAACAATCGAATAGCGTGATTCTAGTGTTGCCGTGAACCGAAGAAAATCGAAGGAGACTTCAATGCAGTCGATTCTCGAAGTCAGTCGGAGTGCATGCACTTGAATTCTGACAATGAACGTTTCGCGAAGTCGACCATAGGTGGGAACCCAACATCGTCACATAAGTAAACGTTGCGTAAACTAGACATCATAGCAATTCAATAGCAAGCTGTGACTAAACCCCAAGATAACAAGAAAGATGAAACTGCACAAACGTTAAAGAACATGAGGATATAATCATGATGCAATACAATAAACTTGTTGTGCAACTAGCGATTCTCTACGTGCGACCGTTCTGTGATCGTAATTGATGAAATGAAAAAGTGAAGAAATAATTCAGGTCTGATGCATGGGTAACCGTTCCTCGTATCATGTCTATATGCCGGCCTGACGGTTGAGCATGTAGAGCTGCAAATCTTGCCAGCCTGCAAAGATCCATGTTAACACCTTACACCGGTAAAGGGACCAAACCAAACACTCACCGCCTCCAACTCGACACATAACCTTCTTCGTCATCCCACTCCCCCTCGCCCCAGAACGCGACAGCGTCGTCAGTTTACACGTCACCACTTTGCGACTCAAACTATTCGAAAACGCATACGACGCCCTAATCTCCTCCCCCTCCTTCGGCGACGCCTTCAGCGGTGGGTCTACACGCTCAATAAGTAGCCCGTGCGGGATCGCATTCACGATCGCCGCCACCTCCACGTCAAGTGGGTCCTTGTCACTCGCAGGGACGTACAAGTGCATCGGTTCGCGCTCCATAGGCGTGTATGACCCTGACCGCGACCCCGGACGCGAGCTGGGCGTCCGAGTCGTCGACGAATCGCGGAATGACGAGGGCGGGAGCTTCCCTGAGACAACCTGCCGCGCGGATGCACGCATCCCGTTGTTTCCTGCGCCTGTGTAGAACGAGAGCTGCTGGGATTTTGCTTTCAGTGTCGATTCGGGCGTCTGCGCCCTGAAGAGGGACCCTGGGGTCAGGGGGCTCTGGGAGCGATAGTGCGACATTGTTGATGAGGGACGGGATTCGAAGGAGACATGCACGCTGGGAAGGGGTATCTGTGATCGGCTTGGAGGGCGAGGTGGGGGTATGCGTACGCCGCTTGGGGTGTACGAACGTGCGGCGCTTGGAGAGGTATTATGTGGAGGCGAAAATGCGCGCTGCATCAGTGTCGTGAGCTCCTCCTCGTCATCATCAGGCTGCCGTGCAGATACGGAACGCCAGTGTAGTGCGGGGGCGGGGATATGACTTGGGGTCTTAGGTCTTGGACGTGGTATCGTCCCAAGACTGGGCGTTTGAGCTCGTGATGGTGGATGTAGAGATGGAAGAGGAGGTATAGAAGGGTTTGTGGATACAGAGGAAGTAACAGGAGACCAAGGTCGTGAAGACGCATTTGAACTACGGCTGAGGCTCCTTCGTGATGGCGTGCTCGGTACAAGAGGTCCATATCCAGGGGTGAGGACAGACTTGACATCCGGCCGCTTTGGAGGAGTGGGCTTAATGGTCGCCACAGGGTCTGGCGACTCCACCTTCGTTGAGCTGTTCCACGGCTGCTTCGAATTTTTCGGTTTCATGGTTGAATTCGGGTCGTCAATACGGTCAAGGCGTTTGAAGGCCGGTGAGGATTCGGGAGTGAGGCTCTGGCTATATTTGTGTCCCTTCTCTGGTGTAAGTGGGGCACCACTGGCATTGCGATTGAATGAGAATATTGAGGTACGTTGTCGTCGTAGCGTCTTAACTGGCTCTGATGAAGGACCCTGTGATTGTGAAGAGTCCCTTGACACCGACGACAATTCCCGTGATACAGGCAAGGGAGTGACGGGAGCTGGAGGCGAGCGTACATGACCCGCGATTTTCCTTGCAAACTTCCTCAGTGGTGATATGCTCCGCGAAAGAGCGCCCGTAGAACTTGTAGCTCGACTCGGTGCACGGTCTTTCGAAGCGCGATTCGAAGGCGTTGCAAGATACCCATTCGCTGTGTACCCGGATGCCGTCGAAGTCGTTTCACTTACAGCCATATCACCACCCATGAGGATCTTTCGCACGGTTTCCATCTCCTTCTCCGTCTTGGCCATCCGCTCCTTGAGTGTACGCCACCTCTTAGCAGATTCTCCATGCCGCCGGAGCGTCTCCCCATTCTTTGTGACACGATTCTGCACGCCATTGTCAATGATCGCAAGGACCTTGGACGTGGCTGGGACGTAGTGCCTAAAAAAGCGTGAGTGACGGAGTATAATGCGAAAGGAGAAACTTCACTTTTTCTTCGCTTCGAACGAGCTGAGCAACTCGTTGAATACCTCGATGCCGAGGGGATTCTTGTCAGAGCTAAGTGAGCCCCTGTATGATGACTGGGAGTGTGAATCGTCTGCACCTCCCCGGTGTACTTGCCAAATAAAATCCTGGGCCGTATTAGCGTAGTAATACAAACTTCAATAAGACGTGAACACACCTGGCAACGATTGACTGCCTTCTCCAAGCTCCCCATCATTCCGTCCGCCTGTTCAGTGACGGTTCTGAATACAGTGAGCCATTTATCCTCTTTCAACTCTTCCCTGAGAACATCTGTCTCGCTCTGCACGGATTCCCACTCGGTGACGAGTACTGCATGCTTGCGGATCAGTATAGCTTGTTCGGAGTCCGGGGCATCATTGGCCTGGTTCTGAAAGGGGGCGACAGATTCAGACACTGATTTCATGCCATGGGCAACAGCCTCAAGGCGTTCGTCAAGAGTCACAAGAGCTTTGTCGATGACAATGGTCGTGGCTGCTGCATCGCCTGAGGATTGAGACTTGTGTCGTAGTTCCTGTATTTCTGTGGATTTGTGAGTAAGAAACGGATCATGAGGATTAGAAGTCGCGTACCAAATATACGCGTCTGGATGTCTGATATACTGTAGGAAAGTTCGGTGATATGTGTAGAGATGGCGAGGAGACGGATGTCTCTGTGCGCGTGTCATGTCACGACCCTGACTAAAGTCTATTGAAAGAGAACTTACTCGTTGCTCTTTCGCTTCCCCTTGTTTCTCGCGAGCAATGAGCGCGACGCGGTGATGGTGAGATTTTCTATCCTGCCGTAAACACCTGCCTCGAGGCAGCGGAAAGAAGGACGGAATGACGGACCTTCATCTGCGCGGTTCAAAGAGCCACTTGATGATGAAGCACTTGAGGATGGTGTTGGGGACGGTCGGAGAGAATGGTAGTGGGAGAGCGGGGTTGAGTCGGTAGTGTTCATGGACACGGCTGGTGAAAGAAGAGTGGCCATCATGAACGTTCGTTACCGTGAACAGTCCACTATGAACGGCTACTGTGAATTGCAGCTGCTGGCTGTTAGCTGATGCCGCGGTTTGAGGATCCGCCGTGCCAGATGAACGCCACGGTCAATGGATCCAACCACAAAGCGAACAACAAACAGCCTCGAAATTTGAAGGTTGACGACGTTACGGACGTTAACTTTGGCGTTTCTTGTCCTCTGAAATTTCGTGAATAGCGTGTAGGCAGCGTAAGTACTAATCGTAGTGTTCCGTAGAGTGATCAATATTTATGTAGGTAAACAATCATTGATAAATGATAATATCAATAATAGCCTATTAGGCCAATATTAGGCTAAGCTTCGCCAGTAAGCGCTACTAGGCTAGCTTAGTAGCCTATACACTTTGTAACTCAACTCTGTGCTCTTCTTGTCTCCCTTAATAAGGCCTATCAAAGTAAAGTGCCAGCGCGCTAGGACGACTTCATTGAAAGCACCATCTTGATGTTTTCCTTGTCTTGACGGGTGCGTTCTCCTCAATAGTTAAGATGAACATCCCCGTCAACGCCTCGGGACTCTAGAAGACCAGCAACTGTGAGGTCTATAGGGCTTTGAGGGGGGTAACTTCCTGGCAGTACTAGTAGGGCCGTGCGATAACCCGCTGCTACTCTGTAAAATCTTGTATCTGCATGGAATTGGTACCGTCGAGTGCCACATTCACCCAGGTCAACGCTCGTCGCAGCCAACCCAAGCACATGTCGCCAAGGATTATGAAAATGATGATGTCGATATCGGGTCGATGGTCGCATACCTAGGCCATACTACGAGATATAGGTGACCTGACCAGGCATACGCATCGTTAAGGTGAAATGCAAGAATCCATCCCAAGTCCAATGCATCTGAAACATGTACGCCTTGATTTATCACGTTGCATGGACCCGACGCATGAGTAGTTGACTGAACGCCTATTTTTAAGAAAACGGGTATTGACTATTCTGATGTGGACAGGCAAAGAAGACCGCCGACGTAGTGCTCCAATCACCATACACACGTCCGAAGGCGAACAGATTTCTTGTGCAATTTTTATATCGAAATGAAGGTAGGAAATCTGTGACATTGCTCGTCCAGCATGTCCAGCATCCACCGTCGGAGACAGGTACAGTCCTGTCTCTGCAGTCACTGGTGCGCAAGCAGCGCACATTATTGCAGACTGGCACTTTTACTCCAGCGACAGCGGCAAGGATGGTGAAGCGGCGAATTGAACCGACCTCATGGTATCTTGTATGACGATATCAATGGCTTCAGTAACAGTCGCGAGTGTGCTGATGTGGACTAGTGGGTATCTAGTTGCCAACAAGCTGGTGACGGATAAAAAGCACTCGAAGCTCACTAGTAATCCAAAATAAACGAATTCAGTCAGGGCCCAATATGCAACTATAGGGTACATAAGGCAGGCAACTTGCCATCACCAATCTTCAACCTAAACGACCTAATGCACTGTTTCTCGATGTGCGAGGGAATTGGTAAAATCAGTTGTACACATAGGAGACATGGGGTAGAGAATCTTTAAACATTGTATCAGCAGGATGGCCAGCCTCAGGCACAAAAACTCGAATCACCGTGTCCTTCAAAAGTTCAATGATGAGACCACTGTGCCTGTCTGCTTCGCATTTCTGAGATTTGTAGACTCGAAGTTGATCTCCACCACCATAAGCTGTGAAGAAATGCCACGTATGACCATTGGTCAAAGCAGCCGTGAAGCTTTTCCATTTGCTGTAAGCAATAACTTCAGCATCTACATTGAGAACCAGATGACAATGAGGTGCTAATGTCGATGTCAAGATATTCAGGACTTGGACTGTAAGCTGCGCTTCAGCATCTTGCATGTCAGTCAGACTCTTGAACACTAGAATATCACACAGTGTATTGGAAAGCTCAAGTTTCAAGGAGCTATGTGGGAGCTGTGACTTGAAAGAAGCGAGATAGGGGCCTTTCAGACTGCGCCACAATACCACCAAATACTTGGAAACATACCAAATGTAAGTAGTCAAGAAAGCTGATGGAACAGAAGACATACCTACCTGTAATTGTACAAATGAAAATTGGCGCTGCGGTCATCTGAGGGCGCGTGTGTACAGAGTCAAGACACGGCGAAGTTGCGGTGAAAGGGGGTTTGTCAGGGTCTCAAGCATACAACTACGAACATAGCTTTCGGAAGGAACGCCAAGCGGTGCTTGCCAGTCGGTCAATGATGAATAAACGACAACCCTTGCTCTTGACGAAATCCAATGCGGTGCACTCATTGTGGGTAACTTCGGACTCTCCACGTATGGTACATTCCATGATAGCCTACGATAGCACAGTGAAAACAAATTATCAGTGGTACTTGTATGGCAAGTAAGGAACATAAAGATGTACAGTCACCAGCTCACTAATCAACAGACATCGCATTGTCCTCCAGCATCCCATTCGCAAGGGCTTTCCACTCAATTCTCTCCTCGTTGCCGTTTACATAACCCTGCCCATCACCGCTTGATCCCGGCGCAGTAGCCCCAACACCATTAGATCCTGATCCCCCTGCACCATCATCCATTCCCGACAGCACCACCGGCGGCAAATGCGTATCCTCCAGTAGCTTCGCCTCCTGACGCTCCTTCTCCTTGTTCTTCCAGTGCGCCTCTAGCGCCACCCGCGCACCACTATCCGCCTCCCGCACCATCGCCGTGCGCGTAGGCTTCCATTTCGTCGGGTCCATTGCATTATAGCACCCTGCCGTCAGACCCTCAAGCGCCCACAACTGCGTCCCGCCCGCGGCAAGCGCTCGTTCGACGTGCCTGTCAAGCAGCCGGTGCTCGAGCAGGCCTGGGTAGTACCGCCCCGCGATCCACGTCAGATCCACGACAATCTCAGTGCCTGGCTTCATGATGGGGCGGAACTTGAACCCATCGGGCGCCTTAGGCAATACGAAGGAACTCAGGACTGGATGCGAGAGTGCGCTATTCGCATCACGTTTTGGTGCGGAAGAGGCGGAGACAGACTGCGCGCCAGCCATATTACTGTGTGAGAGAACGTCTGTTGTCGTGCCTTCAATGGGCACCGCTGGATCTGGGTTTGCGAGTGGCGGCGGTCTCAGTGGGGATGGACCAGTCATGAATAAGAGTTCATCTGGTACACCATCCATCGCAGGTGTCCCATCAAAGCTTGCATTGCCATTTTCGGCCGCCTTACCCTTACCCTTCCCAACCACCATCTCTAAACTGTCCAGGTTTTCATCCCAGTCTTCATCTACGAGTTCGTACAGCGTCCCCACTGCATGGCAGACTTTGGATCCCCTGCCACTCGGCGGATCCGCGACGAACAAACCTTCAATGCGCATGAACACGCCCCGCCCCTCGGCACCGCCGACTTGGCCGCTCGTAGCTTCCGCGTACGCTCGCGCCTTCCTGCTTGGACCAGCGGGCGCATTGATGCAGTCATTTCCTTTGGGAGCGACCTGCCCTCGCGAGAATTTGAGCCGAACGAGCTCGTCTGTCCAAATGCGCTCTGCGCCCCACCACAAGCCCTGGTAGCGCGTCTGCACGATCGTCTGACCCAGTACCAGCGGAGGCATTGGTGCAGAGATACTCGGCGTGTGAGAGCCGGAGCCAGAGGGCGCCACCATGGATGCAAGGTTAGCGTTATAGGCCATACTCAAGTTCATCACTGAATCGAGGCTTTGGTGTATGCTGGCTGATCTTGGCGGACCGGTGTTGGGGTGATCGAGGGTGAATTTGAATTCCCAGTCATCCGTAGGTGCCCAATACCCAGAGATATTTGCGCCGATCTGTAGCGCAATGCCGTACGGAGCTGCTGCTTTTGCAAAGGGGATTTTTTCCCGAGAGGTGGCGTAAGGGTTGAATGTGGAAGTGCGTACGGGGTCTGGGTCGAGGTCCGCATAAGATACCTCATGGATAGCTTGTATAAGCTCCTCTGAAGGGGCGACTGACTGGTATGGAAGAACACATTGATCTGAAATATACACGGTATGGGAAAATACCAAGGAGCTTCATCTTATAAGAAAGATCGTGTCGGATGATCCAAGGCACTTCCTCGTCGGCGTTGGATGAGTTGGGGTTTGGTACATTAGATGGTCCGCCAAGAGCACCCATCTCTATATCCTTTGGAATGGGTGTAGGCTTCATTCTCGTCTCTTCGACAATTCCTGGCCAGAAAAAGATGGAATCTTCTCCGCCCGGGCCGCTGGGACCCTCGATCGGGGGTCCAATGCACACCAGAGGAGTTCACCGTCACGGAACCATCGGCGAACTTTGACTTCGGGGCCGTAGGCGCAGCTCAAGTCGGCGTGACGCTCCCTGAGCATGCTCTGCTTTGGTGCGGGCTGCTTGACAGGTTTGGTGCGCGGACGCACACCGAAATATGGTCTAAATCTCTCTTGTCGCGAGTGCTTTTCTCTTGATCCCGAGCTGGTTTTTCCTTGAGTGGCTGGGGCTGCCGTTTCAATCTAGGGACTGGAGGAACTGTTCGTGTGGGCGTGTTTGCGGCAGAGGGCGTGGAGCCGCGCCTGGGGAGGAGGCCCATAAGGCAGTGATTTCACGTTGGGGTTTTTTATTGCAATATTTGCAGTTGCA